GGGCGGGGGTGGGGTTGGCAGATGTTGGCCGTGGGAACCCGTGCCTTGCGATGGAATTGCACTAGAGAGGTCATGATACGTGACATGAGTTGTGAAAGTGCGGCAGAGCATAGCGAGGGGGGCTGTGGCGGCCAGATGCTGCAGCGTGTGACTTGCAGACTCAGCGACGGGCCCCACGTGAGAAGCAGCCTGCGCAGGGACTGCGACACGGCATACGGGGCGGCCCCGCGCGTCCGGAAGAGGGGGCAGTGTCCGCACTCACCAGCGCTGCGAAGCGCCGCTTGTCGTCGGCGTCCAGGGGCCGCGTGCTCGTCAGCAGGTAGCGCCGCGACTGCTCCAGGCGCACCACCTGCAGACAGCGGCGGCGGCGGCGATCGCTGCTTGTCAAAATCGGCCGCCCGAAGGAAGGTGAAGAATTTGCCCTGCGTTTGCCAGGCACACCCATCGTTCAAGATCCTGGGCCAAATGCTGCAGAGCCCCAGCAAAGACTGTCCTGGGGTACCCCCCCACACACAAACACACAAATGACGCACCTTGCCGAGCCCGACGCTGGCGCAGATGGAGAGGGCATTGGTGCACCATGCGGTCTGGAAGCTGCTGCGGGGGCCGACTTCGACCACAGACTGCGTGCAAAGAAAGTGGGACGCGAGCGCAACTGTTGGATGTTGAGGATGTGAGCGGAGGCATGTTTTTGGCTGTTAGGGGACCGCGCATGCAACTGTGGCTATCCAGCGCACACACGGACACGGCTGAAGTCGGGCAGGGGAAGGCAGGGCGCACACCTGTGTGGGCCCGCCAGGCAGCAAGACGGTGCTGGGGGTCAGCAGCTCCGGCTCAAACGTCTCACGCAGCAGCCTGTCGGGAAAAGCGGCGGGGGGTCGTGGCGTTACTGGGGTGTGCTGCATAAAAAGGATCTGCTGGTGCTGTGCGGCATGCCGTCAATCCGTCAAACGAAGTCGCGCTTTACAACGGTACAGGTGCAAGCAGAGCAAAGCTTCAGGCTGCAGGGCGGGCAACCCAAGAGGCACATGGGGCGGCTGGGCGGGGTCTCCGGTGAGGGGCCGGGGGGACGAGAAGCCCACCATGCGAGAGTCTCCGCTTCCTTTGGCGTGAGGGGCGCGGAGAGCTGTACGTTGAAGCAGACCTCGCCATCGACCGAGGTGATGATGTCACTCGCCTTGGCCTGGGCCTGCCGGGCAGGAGAGTGGGGGGGGGGATGTTGAGGGAGGGGAGGTCATCTGCCGCGATGACCATGGGATGACGGCCCTTGAGTGGCACAAGTGGGCGCACAAGGCCCCAGCAGAGGCGGTACGGGGATACGCGCAGCATAAGAATGCAGATAAGAGAGAGCTCAGGAAGCGGGGGCTTGGTGACTGCGGGTGTCCCACCTTGTGGAGCAGCGTGGTGGCTGCCGAGGTCGAGAGGCCGGGGTAGCGGTAGAGCTGCACCACGGCGGCGGCCGGCGCAGTCAGTTTTGACTGCACCGAGTCGCTGCGCACGACCTGCGATGAAGGAAAGCAGGGTTAAAAGGGATAAGCAAGTAGATGGCAACTGGGACCTCGACCGGCCCGCGAGGAAGGCAGGTGAAAACGGCAGCGGACGACGGCGGCTGTAACAGCGGCGGCCGCAGGCAATGCGGTGTGCGCACCTCGCGGGGCTGCGAGGCTACGCGGCAGGCCACACGGCGGCGTACAATGTCGCCCGCGGTTGCCACGCCTGCAGAGGACGGGTTGGGAAACTATCAGCCGGCTGCAACGCTCTGCAAGCTGTCGGCACAATGATCTGCGTTCACCCCACCTGCGTAAGCCACGCGGCACGAGGACGGTGCATTACGAGCAACAGCCCCGACCCTCAGTGCCATCCTGTGCGGAGGGGGTCGCGATCGATCAGCGCCTGGGCTCTGCGATTGGTGCCGGCAAGCATATCAGCAGCGCGCGGGCATACCTGCGGTGCCACGGGCGAGCTAGGGGCACATATCCCCCCACCGCTGCCTTGAGGTGGGTCTGCATTGTACGCGGCCGCCTAGATCATGGATGATCGAGCGGCCAGACGCCAGAGCACACGGCTGCACTGCAAGCGGTCAATAATCAATTAATTCAACGTACAGTATCATCGGTCAGGCTGTGGGGGAAGATAACAATGAAAGGGCGCCCACAGCGATGGATTGCTGACAGGCGCCCATGTGGCCGACGGCCGGCCCTGCCCATGACCGCAGCCTCGTTGTGCCTCAAAGGGCATTTGCCAAAGCGAGCGGGCCTCTGTCCGTCTTCATAGCTGAGAGGGATGTTCCGGCGCGGTGCTGGAAGGTTCGAGAGCAACGTTTTGGGGGCAGCCCGCATACCGGAACCCTGTTGGCTGCACCACCACTCCGGGCTATCGGTACTGCTTGGGGACTGTGTTACACGCAGATGCGATACAGGTTTTGTGCTTGCAACACCACCGCGCTCCTGCCTGTGCGGCAGGACGCTCTGGCAGGGCCGCCCGTCGCACCAGCATGCTGCCGCCGATGGATTGAATGCACAGCGTGGCGGGCTCATGACAAAATCACTGGCGGGCTATGTGCTGTGCCACTGGCGACCCGCGTTCAAAGGTTGTTGTGGCCCACCCAAACTTTCACTTTTCAAAAAAACAGCAGGGCTCCACCTCAAAACAAAAAAAGGGACCGGCCGTACAAACGTTGACGGGGCACACATGGGCACGGGCTTGGGGGGCACTGCAGCCCGTGTCCTGGTGCCCATGCAAAACACACTTGGCACCGCCGCTTCGATGCTGCAGGCAATAACAGGCTGCAAGCACGGTCGCCACCGCCGTCACCGCTGCAAACAACAGCGGATCAGACAACCGGCAGGGCGTGCCGCCCCCGTCGTGCATGGGAAGGGCAGCGGCTTGGTAGTGACGTGTGGTGGCCTAGAGCGCTCAGGCGGCCTCGATCTCGTCTTCAGCCTGTGCGTGATGAAACAAGGGAGGTGTGGCGGTGACAAAGGCGCGCATGGCAGTGCTATCTGCGCGTCGCGGAAGCCAGCCAGGCTGCCATCCAACGCAACGCTCAACCCAAGTCCCACGTGTGACCAAAGCTGGTGGCTCTCTGCGCGCGCCGCATTGTACCCTCGGATCCGCCAACGGCCATCCAAATTGCTCAACACCAAGCAAAAAACTAGCATCGCGCTGCGGAAGATTGCAATGCATTTAGTAAACACTGCAATTCTGAACCTGCAATCATGCACACATGTAAGCAGTGCGCCCCCGCCCACACCCACCAGGTGAGCGAAGAACTTGACGTCATTGCCGCCCACGCTGGTCTGGAACTGCACCCGGTACTGCAGGTTGGCCGAAAGCACCGCGCCCTTGTGGAGAGCCGCAATCTTCTTCACCGTCCCCTCCAGCCCCTGAAGGCAAAAGCGAGGGGGTGCATGGCGCAAGGCATGTAAGGTTCTGGTGCATATGCCAAAAAGCCTCAGCCCAACGCGGTGGTGGGAGCATTGGGGAAGCTGTGGTGTTTTGCATGCAGCGCAAGACGTGCCGGCAGCCGCATGATGTCAGACAATGCGTGCCCTTGTACTCAGTGCTGCACATGCTTGCTGCTGCCAGCGTCGCCGCCAAAGCGGCCAGCATTTTTCGTTCAGGAGTTGCTGTTGCAACAGAGGCGCACCTGCAGCTCCAGCTCCGGAGTCTTGGGCACATGATAGACCTTGATGGCGTCCTTCACCCTGACCTTGGCGCCCTCCGCGAATGCAAACTGCCCGTTGTCTGCTGTCGCCCGCACAGACACACACGCGCGGCGTGGCGCAGCGCCTGTGCCAGGTGCACCGGCGAGCGTGCACAGGTGTGCGTGGCCGGAGCATTGAAGCGGGGCAAGGCTACGACGGCAGCGACGACAAAGAATTGTTCATGCTTCGTTCAAGGTCCTACAGGCACGCAGGGCGCGAATGGGCTCCGGAGGTGGTAGAACGCTCAAGGCTCCCACGCTAGGTTGCGTCCTGGGCCGCGTTTCTACTCTATTCAATTTCTCACCAGCCTTGAAAGGCGCTTGAGCCACGCGGAGGGCACAGCTGATGGCCATAGCGGGCTTCGACGAGATCATAGTTCAAGGTGCGGAGTAGGTGACGGATAAAGGAGGATGGAAGACGAAAAGGGGGTTGTAAGCGCCGTTCCGGGTGGGCTCGTTCAAGGGTTGAGCACCGTCCTTGACCACATCCTTCTGACCTGGTGGTCATACCACAACACCAACCCGCTAGATGCAGGCTTGCGGGACAGTTGCAAGACATACATATGACACCAAGCCTGATAGCCTGAGCCTGTAGAGGGCATGTGTCAGAGCCTACTGTACCTGCCTGCGTTTGCTGCCACAGTGTCACTCAAAGCAACGTGCCCTACATCAGGCAGCACTCCCCGCACACGATGCAGGCTGTGGATTGCGATCCAAATGCTCCGCTCTCCTTTTGACAAATGATCGCAGGCTGTGGATTGCGATCCAAATGCTCCGCTCTCCTTTTGACAAATGATCACACAAGGCGATGGTGCACACAGTGCCCACTTTCTGCCGGTCAAAACATTTCCAAGGCCGCTTTGCAATTCTCCTGCATGCATGCTTGGGGAGTCACCAAGGGGCGCCTCAGTCTGATGTTTGCACGAGCTCATACTGCCCATAAAATATCAAATGGTAGCAAGATTACATGTGTTGTTACAAGAGTGTGCATTTCTTTGGCATGAGACACACACGCGAGGGCGAGCGATCAGCACGTGCCACCGCGCAGGCGCAGCACCAGGTGGAGCGTGGACTCCTTCTGGATGTTGTAGTCGGCCAGGGTGCGACCGTCCTCCAGCTGCTTGCCCGCAAAGATCAGGCGCTGCTGGTCCGGAGGGATGCCTGAAAAATGAATGTTGAAGCGGAATGCAACGGAAAGTTAAGGAACCCCGTTGAATCGCAATATGCAGTAGCAGTAGCAATTGAGGCAGGTGCGGCAGCGCGCTGCTGAAGTCGCATCGCCTGGCAGTGTGCAACATGCATGCATGCATGCCTCCATGCAGTACGAGGAACGGATTGCTACACGGGCTTGCATCTGCTCTGCTCAGCCTGCCAAATCAAGTCAGCCGGCAGCCCAGCCCTTTGGCCTCAGCTGCTGGTGCAGCCCACTCACCCTCCTTGTCCTGGATCTTGGACTTGACGTTCTCAATGGTGTCGCTAGACTCCACCTCCAGGGTGATGGTCTTGCCCGTGAGGGTCTTGACAAAGATCTGCATGCCACCGCGCAGGCGCAGCACCAAGTGCAGCGTTGACTCCTTCTGAATGTTGTAGTCAGCCAGGGTGCGGCCATCCTCCAGCTGCTTGCCCGCGAAGATCAGGCGCTGCTGGTCCGGGGGGATCCCTGAGAAGGTTGGGATGGAGAGGGAGGATGAGGAAGTTACGAAAAGCAGCCCGTTGCGAAGGACCTAGACGGAGGCATGCGCCGCGGCAACTGCAGCTGCCAAAGCAGCAGGCTGCTCATCAAGCGTCACATCGCCCAGCCGCACACACCACGCATGCATGCATGCATGCAACAATCCGAGCCCAATGCCACACGGGCTTGCATCTGCTCTGCTCAGCCTGCCAGATAAACTCAGCCGGCAGCCCAGCCCTTTGGCCTCAGCTGCTGGTGCAGCCCACTCACCCTCCTTGTCCTGGATCTTGGACTTGACGTTCTCAATGGTGTCGCTAGACTCAACCTCCAGGGTGATGGTCTTGCCTGTGAGGGTCTTGACAAAGATCTGCATGCCACCGCGCAGGCGCAGCACCAGGTGGAGCGTGGACTCCTTCTGGATGTTGTAATCGGCCAGGGTGCGGCCGTCCTCCAGCTGCTTGCCCGCAAAGATCAGGCGCTGCTGGTCCGGGGGAATGCCTGGACCAGGCAAGGTCAAGAAACGCAACATGGGGATGGGTGATCATGAGTTGAGAGCGGCGCAGCATTGGAGGAAGGGATGGATGCAGATACAAGCAGCATGCTCTCAGGGAAGCACATGCTTGGCCCTGCGCAACATGCATGCACACCGCGGAGCTCCCTGATTGTCGCATTAGCCTGCATCCGCCGAGTTGGCCAACGCAAGCCAGCCCTAGCTCAACTCAGGCGGCACCCAGCCCCTTGGCCCTAGCTGCTAGCACAGCCCACTCACCCTCCTTGTCCTGGATCTTGGACTTGACGTTCTCAATGGTGTCGCTAGACTCAACCTCCAGGGTGATGGTCTTGCCTGTGAGGGTCTTGACAAAGATCTGCATACCACCGCGCAGGCGCAGCACCAAGTGCAGCGTGGACTCCTTCTGGATGTTGTAGTCAGCCAGGGTGCGGCCGTCCTCCAGCTGCTTGCCTGCAAAGATCAGGCGCTGCTGGTCCGGAGGGATGCCTGAGAAAGGTTCAAGGTAGATGAGGTCGTGTGGACACAGCGTCGGATAAGGAAATACGCACACACACGTCATATGTTCAACAAAGGGAGTCACATAGCCTGGCAGTAAACAACATACACACATGCATGCGTGCGTGCATGCATGCAGGACATGGAGCCATCAGACTGCCATGTGCTAACACCCACTCCTCACAGACTACCAGAAGAACTCGGCCTGAAAAAATTAGCATAGCCATCAGCCCAGCCCCTAGGCCCCAGCTGCTAGCACAGCCCACTCACCCTCCTTGTCCTGGATCTTGGACTTGACGTTCTCAATGGTGTCGCTAGACTCCACCTCCAGGGTGATTGTCTTGCCCGTGAGAGTCTTGACGAAGATCTGCATGGTTGTAAGCTGTCTGCGATGGAGGGCAGACGCACGAGCAAGGCGAGTGCGTCATGAGCGGCGCGTCAGCACGCGATGCGTACGCACGCCACACCAGCCCGCTTGCGCCGCGCCTGCGCGCTGCAGCACGGCCACAGCAACATACGAGGCAACGACCAGGACCAGCCCGCGAGCAGGGCTGATGGGCGACGAGGGCGAGGGCCGCTGGCCCGCGCGCAAGGTTGATCATCACAAGCCCGCACCTTTGGAGGGTGTTGAACAAGAGGGTGGTTTAAGTTGCTCAGCGTGATCGTGGGATGAGAGAAACACAGATTTATCGGCCAACACGAAGCGGTCGCGCTTTTAATGCCGTCCGAAGCTCTGGCACCTGCTGCACAGCTCCACCTTCCCCGGCAGGTTCCGCAAGGGCTGCACAAGGTGCTTCTGCAGCTTACGCGGCCTGAGTTGCATGGTTCTTGTGTACATGCCTCAATTGCATATGTCCATACAGCCCTGACCTTGGTGCAAGGCGTGCAAGTTGCCGCGCAATGTCAGCGACGACCCCCCAGGGGCTTTGGCATGTGGATGTTTACTCTGCGTGCACTACCACATACAAAAATGCATCCCCCGCATGCAGCCGCGCGTGAAGCCATGCGATCGGCGCATCCAGTGGCGGCCGCACGCCGCCAACCACCACGCGGATCCGCCGCGCCGCATGCGCTGCCCAAGCACGCGCCTTCCCGCGCGATGCGTGCGGCCCGCGCTGCGCAGCGGCAACTGCTTCGGCCAGCGCCGCTGCCGCGCCGCCGCTGCTGCTCGGGCGGCCGCTGCCGCCACTTGCTTCCGCAGCAGCACCGACGCCACCGCTGCCCTCCTCAGATGCACCCGCCGCAGATGCAATGCCGCCGCTACTGCTAGGTAAGGTGTCTGAGTCCCCAACTGCTGCTTTTTTACTGCTGCTGCCCCCACCGCTGACCCCGCCGCTGCCGCTGGCTCCACCCGGCGCCGCACTGCCAACGGCCCCCGCACCAAGCGGCCCGAGGTCCGCCACTGCCGCCCCCGCAGCCCCGAGCTCCGCTGCTTCGTCAGCCCCTCGTCCCAATGGGGCATCCTCCGCCGCCCCTTCCGGTGTGGGGCCGCCCCCGCCGCCTGCCGCCATCCTCTCACCGTTGATCGGCGCCCGCGCCGCAGCGGCGGGCGGCGGCTCTGTAAAGAGGCGGGGCGCCACCTTGTGGAGCGCGTGCGCCAGGGTTGTGGGGCAGCCGTCAGGCTGCAAGGCCTCGATTGGCCGAGATGTGCTGTACGCGCGCTCCCAGCACGCACCACCTGCGGCGCATGAGGCGTGTGTGCTGCACATTGAAAGCGGTTGCCATAAGCACATGCACTGTATCGACGGCGTCGATCTATGGCCGTACGGCAAGCCGCCACCACACAGCACCCCTCGGCAGCTGTAAACAAACTCATGGTGCCCAGGCATTCAGCCGCACACGGGCGCATGCCCTACCACCCGCACCCCTGATTGTTGAGCGAGCGTGCATCGCATGATATGCCCTGCCACTCACCCTGCCGCAAGTCCGACCCTTCCAATATGAAAATCCGGATCGGGACCAAGGGGGCGTTGCTTTGCCGCTGCCATGCCGTGCGGTGGTGCCGGGTGGGCGTGCATGAAGTCAGGCAAACTGAGAAAGGGTGCATAGGGTGCCAGGATCCCCAGACAGGGAACCGACATGCTGACAGCGAAGGTGTTGCGCAACTGCCCATTGCAACTGCCACAATGCCTTGAACAACACATTAATCATGTGACCACCAAAAGCCTGCATCTGCCGCCCTCGCCGCCGCTCACCACGCCCGGCACGGCACGCAGCCCCGCCCAGCCCGGCGCCGCGGCCGGCCCGCGGCCAGAGACCACGCAGCGCCAGAGCTCGTCCTGCGCCGCCGGGGACATCCGCATGACCGCGTTAGCGCCCTCGGGGCCGCGGCAGACGTACAGCGCCTCCTGTTGTTGTTGATTTTTCGTGCAGGTATGCGAGGCCCGGGGTGTTTGGCAGAGTGAGAGCTGGTCCATTTTGTCTGGTGTTGCAGTCTGGTCCATTCATGGTATTGCAGCGACACACAGAGGCCTGTTGCTGATGCGCGGTGCAGCGTGTGCGATCTGAAACACACCCGGGCCATGCCCGTGCACCCCCGACCCCAGCGCCCCTGCACATGCTGAATCACTTCATACGCACACCCGCCAGACCCATGCTGCGTTATGCATGTGCGCCTGACCTTCAGCGAAGTGAAGTACATGTCGCGCACCGACCCTGCGTTAACCCAGGAAGGCACCAGCGCCGCGGGCAGGTCCCGGTAGTGCACAGTCAGCGCCCACGGCAGCGGCGGCGCCACGTCCGCGCCTCGGTCTGCTGCTGCTGCGGCTGCTGCTGCTGCCGTGGGGGCGGAGCCACTGCTGCTGGGTGCCAGCGGGGGCGGCGCTATGAGGTCGTATAGCACACCGCATGGCAGGGTCCTAGGGCGGGTGTTGGCAGAATGATTGGATACCACAAGGCGAGAAACTGAGAGGCGTCGTGGGGAGCCTTGGCTTGCCCCAATGGGCGCCTTCGCTGCCCGGGCAATTGCAAGCCGTGCTGCCAGGACAAGCCATGCTGGTCTCGTCAATCCTCCGTTTGGCACAGCCCCCTGCAGACGGTTGTTGGGCTGAGTCAGCTGCTCGCACGCGCACGGCCCGCACCAGTTAAGGGGGGCGCCGCAAAACTCAAACCAGGGTGTGTGGCCGGCGCCCTGGCCGGGGAGCTTCAGCAGCACGTGCTGCGCGCGTTGGCAGGTGGGAATCGGGTGGGGGAGCGGTTGGGCCGCCGCGGCCCTGATCCGTCGAGCTAGGAGCCAGCAGCGGCTGTGTTGTTCTACCAGCAATCTACCAGCAATGCACGTGGCGGGGCGATTGGAATGACGGTTCATTGCATGTTGAATTTGTCGACACAAGCAGCGATGCCGCTGTCAGGTAGTTTGCTAGGTGATGGAATGTTGCACAGCCAACTGCAGAACCATTGAAA